TCGTTGGGATACCCGGTCAATATTGGCTGAAGGGGGCCCTGTTCAGCTGTCGTGGTGGCTTAAGTTGATTACATAGGGTGCTGTACCGAATATAATTCCACACGCTTTACGTTGGGCCAGTAATATCAACGCCTGAGTTCCCACTCGGTCTTATATATTCCTACATGTCCTAACTCGGTATGTATCCTCTCTATAACTTCATCTACCATGGATAGAGGTAGTAAGATAAGTCGTGGATACTGATTACTATCTCTATAAAACAGGACGCCATTATCCAAAATTAACTTATCCCAAACTGTGTGCAGGCAGCGCGTTTCGTAGCTCTGCCCTCTTAACTCGTCCGTGCTCATCGATCGGGTCTCACTAAACTTTCTATGGTAAATTGGCCCAATGTGCGGGTCTTCACGTTGTGCCTGCGCCCAAAGATAACTTTGGTCATCGTGAAGCGATATCGCACTTATGTTGATGTCCGTACATGATGGACAATCGTCGTGCGGTCTAAAGGGTTTCCTTGACAGGGCGTCAGCATTGTTGTGCAGACGACCCGATCGGTATAAACATTCGTACTCGTAGCCTGCTAGCTGCTCTTGCCACCGTGCGACTTGCCCCTCGGGGTTCTTAAAATTACGAAGCCATGTTAGCGAGCTATGGTCGGTTCTAACTAGGAACTTCCGGTACTGTAGGAATAGTCGACATTCTTTAACGAAACATACGAGAGCAAGCATCTCTTTCCTAGTCACACAATACCGGTTCTCTGCCTTGCTAAGGGATCGACTTAAGTATTGAATAACACATTCTGTCTTGTCAGCTTGTCGTTATGGTAACACGGCGCCAATCGCGAAATCACTTGCATCTGTGTCGAGTATGAACTCCCCCGCCTGTTGACTAACGTCGGGGAACGCGAGGATGGAACTGGAACACAGGTTGTATTTTATAGTTTCGAAGCTCGCTGCACATTCCGGTGTCCATTTAAAACGAACTCCCTCTTGGGTGAGCTTATTTAAAGGTGCAGCTCTATATACATAGTCCTTAACAAATTTCCTATAGTAAGACGCGAGACCCGTGAAACTTCTGACCTCAGTCACATTGCTGGGTGTCGGCCACTCGCGGACTTCTGTAACCTTATCTTTATCAGTTTCTACCCCAGAGGCGGACACGACATGTCCCAAGAACTTAACTTTGTCTCGTAGAAGTACGCACTTCGCCGGCTTAAGGGTGAGACCTGCCTGTTTCTAACTGTCGAATACCATACGCAAATTATTCAAATGATCATCGAAGTCCTTTCCAAGAATAATGATGTCATCGAGATACACTAAACAGGTACTCGGGATAAATTGTGCTAGAACCTGGTTCATAAGTCGTTGGAAAGTACTAGGCGCATTAGCTAGACCAAAAGGTATAGTCTCGAATTCGTATAATCCAGAAGGGACTGAGAAAGCAGTTTTCTCACGGTCGGACGGCCTGACTTCTACCTGCCAATATCCAGCAGCTAAATCTAACGTCGAGAACACCCGATCACCCGAAAGGGCATCTTATGTTTCATCAATGCGAGGTAACGGAAAGAAGTCTTTGGTCGTGACCTCGTTTAATTTCCGAT